AGTCTGGGTGTTCAAGTGTGTGTGTCGAAACTTTCACTCCCTCCCAACAGGGCCCGAAAAGGTGGGCGGGCAAGATGCCCGGGGGGCCTGACTAGCGCCTTAGGCCTGGTAGAAGAAGAGAGAGACCGCAAGACTGGCATTAATCATCACAACAAATCGCCTCAATGAGATCTAGGATTAAAGGCGATGTCGAGAGGAGCGAAAAGACTTCTTTCGTACCGATTCCGTGCATTTGTACTTGTAAGCTTTGCGAAAAGCTTGTTGTTGTGCAGAGCTTCGCACACCCGATCACCCGCCTGTCATAGAGTTTGTTCTGTGTTCAAACTGCTTGGACGAAAGAAAGACCTGTGTTTTTATACCTGCCAAAAGCCCAGGCGCGTAGCGCATAAATTTTCTCGAAAAACACAGGCCTGCATTCCGCCGCTGCTACTACTACTACTACTACTACTACCTACAGACTACTAACTACTAACTACTAACTACTAACTACTATCTACTAACTACTAACTACTAACTACTAACTACTAACTACTAACTACTAACTACTAACTACTAGCTACTAACTACTACTACTAACTACTACTACTACTACTACTACTACTACTACTACGACTACTACCGCCACTACTACTCCTTCATTCACAAATGCACACATGTATGTACGTGTATATACATACATATATATATATATTTATATGTGCGTGCACAGACATATATGTGTACATATACACATGTTTACAGCCAACACTGCACCGGGGCCAACACACACGCACAAGCAAGCAGGCAGGCAGGCAGGATTAGGCAGGCATGTAAGAAAGCATGCTTGCATACATGTATGTATGCATGCGCACATGCTGGCTGCATGTATACTTGCATGCACGTATGTATGTACGTACGTATTTACGTGTGTACGTGTTTACGTCTGTATGCATGTATGTACGTGTGTATGTACGTGTTTGTTAGTTTTTCAATCTTTAGTTTCAGCTTGCAGCATGAATTTCCGAAGGGTTCAGTCTAGAACTCGGCATGCATTTGTAGCAAAGCTTAGAAAAGTCGAGACGGACATAGAACTTTTCGAATCGATCCAATGCAGTCTTCTCATTTGAGGCTGTACACAGTGCCACCAAGTCAGAGGCAATGCACAGATGTGTCCCGCAACTGACGTTTATCTTTGCTTCCGACAGCTTCGCCACTTTGTCACTTGTACAGGTGTCATTTCGACTGTCCTGCCGTGTTTCGCCATCTTCTTGGCGCCATGGCCAGAATCGTAAGTTAAATTCAATCAAACAGCTTGCATATCCTGACCCGGGTTCGAAACATTGCTGGGCTGTTTGTCTGTTCCAGAGATTTTCAGTTGAGGCACCTGGAACTTTCTCCACTTTCAGTTACTGCGTCGTCTCAACGATTCTCCTCTCCGGGGCCAACGTGGGCACCTGTGTTTGGCAGCGCGGTTTGCGAGGTGCCTTGCAGGGACGTCTATGGACGAGGTCATGCAAACCACAAGATCATGCTGGACACAACGTGTTGCATATACCGCCGCAGAGCCGACATAGCTCCCGCATCCCTGTTCTTTTGTGGTGAGGTGCATTTTATCAGCTCGCGTGGGGGATCCCGTGGTTGTGCTTGACATTTGGTGCCTGGGTTGTGCTCTATGGGATCGCCGTTCTCCACGTTCAGATCGACCAGGTATCTAAGGTTGCAAGTGCTTTCTTCCTGCCGCTGTCGACGGCGACCCTGGAGCTCGGAACGATTGCCTCTGCCACTGCGCTGTACAATCACCGCGTCTTCAAACTTCGTGCATCGGAGCCGAGCTCAGAAAGCACTGTATACTCTCCCAGAGTCTCCCATAGCACGCAAGTGATGCACATGTCGCATGTTTGCACATGACGTGGTCATTGGCAGGACCACCCGGTTTGGGGCGATCAGGCAAAGAGCACCTTACCCGTGGTTCCTGTCGCGATCCATGCGTTCACGGAGACCTGCAGGCTTGCCACATGCTTTTGTGGCCCCCTTGAATCGACATTCTATTCAGCTGGTGATTAGAGTGGCATAGTCCGGAGGTGCAGGGGATGTCAGCAGCTACTAGGCTGTTGAGTTCTCACCGCCGCAGTGCGCGCGGTAGTCCGTGTGTAGGCATGACGAAGTAGAGTCAAAGTGACCAGAGGGAGTCAGGAAGTTCTATGATTGATCGCGACAAGCTCAAGGAGGGCTGTGTGCGCAGTTCCATGGGTCCTGTAGCTTTGACTCGGGATTTTGTTTTCTGCCAACTTGCCCATTCCAAACATCCAAACGCAGCCGGCCATGAACCAGAGTCGTGCATGCGACCTTTGTGACATCCTGTTGCCGAGATCCTACAGAGACTTGTGCAGGTTGGTGTCGGTGCTGGCTTCGACAGTCTATGACGGCAGCAGCTACTTCTGGATCTTCACGGGTTTGCTGTCGCTGGTCTTGCAGCCTGGAAAGAGGTTTCAATGTCGTCCCCTCCCTCATCCGAAGCTTCGCAGAACTTAGGAACGTGATGAACCGGCAAGGTTGGAGCAGATTCCTGGTGACCAAAACCATCACGCGCTTCGGACTACGACCTCAAGCTGTGCTTGGTTGCACCGCGCCGACTGCCATCAGTCGGCTTCATGATGTTGCAAAGATCAGCTGCGGTTATCCCCGGATGAGTGCTCCAGTGGTTCTGGGTTTGGTTCAACTGGTGACAGGCCATGGGTTCTACCGATCCACCAATACTGTGATAGCAGTTGTGGTGATTCTGGTCTTTGAAGTGCTCGAGGACTGCTTTCACCACTGGGAAATCTTACCGTTCGCACCGTTACCGATGGCAGCTGCCGAGTATTTCGCATCACTTGATAAGTACTCACCATACCAGAGCACCGTCCCAGCCACTGCTATAACAAGCAGCCCTACCACCGTTGGTGGCGGACCCCCCAGCCCAATCGGCATGCCCGATGCATCCCCCAAGTCCACCACTGAAGTGGAGGTGAGCCCCATCGCGAGTGAACTCAGCACGGGCTCTCATACGCCAGTTCAGGGTCGACGGCGCTCGATCAGCAGTGCTGTGAGTGTGGGTGGAGTGGAGACAGGTGTGTCCGGCAAGGTTCGGAGATGGTGGGGCCAGGATCTCAAGGTTCACACTGCACTTCGCCTCTGGCATCTGAGAAGTTGGCCCGGGCCCCAAGTGACTGAAGCAAGATGTCGCTACGCGACCCTGGTGTATGTTTGGTTATGTTCGTCGGGACACGAAATCTGGATACTTGAATCTTCGGAGTCCCGGAGGAAGCGGCTGGCGCCCATGCACTGCCAAATCAGGATACTAGGGGCACAAACGTTCAAACACAGCTGCGAAAACGCGGTGTGGGAGGGAGAGGAGGGGAGTGGTCGACCATGACGTATATGCCGGTGGTGTCAAGGCATCTCATGAATCAGCATCAGAGCATTTTGTCTAGCGCTGTGTTCAGTTCAGGTCATGGCCGGTGACCTTGAGTATGATTTGGATCATGAATGTCTACACAGTTTGTTGCTTGGAGCTCCTGCTCGGCCCGGGCTACCTCCGCGGCCTTTGTCCTGAGCCAACATCGAGGCAATCTTTCAATCCGAACCTCTGGCAGAGCTATCCTTTGAGCTGCTGAATGTTCTCTGTCCTCTGCGGCAGTAGAATTGCCAGAAAATGGGTTTTCTTGCATCGTTTTGCCACTTACTCTTGACCTTTTTCAAGTCTTTCACGAAAAGTGTGCCCGACCGAGTCGTGCAGCGGCAGTGGTCTTTCGAGTCTAAGGCACGCTGCATAGTTTTGGCGACGCATCCACTAAGTGGCATGCACGCGAACAGTAGAAGCTCGCCGCCTCGGGAAACGAGTGGCGTGGGTGAGGGAGGTTTCAACTGTGAGATCAAGCATTGTTTCGTTCCGCAATGGCCATGCGCAAGGTGCAAAATGTAGAGGCTCAGCGTTGTGAGCTGTGTAGGATGTCTTTTGCTTGCGTTGTTTGGCACACTGCCGCATGACATGAACAAGTGGCATCTGCAAGCCTACAACCGCAAGGTGTTGGATCCGGACAGATGTTTAAGCTGCGGCTGGATTGTGGTCATACCCTGGACATATGAAGAAAATCTCAGGTGACGGCTTGCAATCTCAGCGGCAAGCCTTAGAAATTCAACGCGCGTGCTTCATGTTGGGCCTGCAGCACGACTGTCTGGCTCTAGCTGACGTGGACGATTCAGTCCATGTCCCCATTGCAATACACGGCCATGAACCACCACATGCTCACAGCTACCATCCTCATAAGGGTGATCGCTCAAGCAATTTATCAGCGTGCTTGTAGAGAAGCAGGTGCATGCAATCCCTTGGTGTGCAGACTAGCTAGCTTCGAAAAGGTTCATGTGCGTGTTCGCACTAGCAGTGGACGAAGGTAGATGACGAAGGGCACTTGTTTATGTTGGCTTGTGTGATCTGGTGGTCGGGCCCTCAGCATGGAGACGGGGCCTGGTTCACATCAAATCTATGCCCTTGGAGCTCCGGCGGAGACCCCTAAAACTCTTGGCCTTCCAGATGTTTGCGCAACTTGCAGGTTGGTTCTGCGCCTTGTCGGTGCTCCCGTGCCCTGCAGTGCTGCCCTCATCATGAAACCCCGTGCCCAAGATGCTTCGCAGAAGCGCCGGCACCATGTGCGGACATGTGCTTTGAATTGGATCGGCAGCTTTTGGATGTATCCGACCGTGTCAAACCAAGAACCAACGTTGGCAGAGGAAGTGCAGGCCATGGGCTGTGGACAGGCACCATTTCCACATGTTATTGTGTGCACGAGGGCTTTGCAAGACAGGTCGGCGATGTCGTTGCATTGGTGGGTCCAAGTCGAACTATCCTGCACCTGGAGTCGCAGGAGCAGATTAAACTCGAAAAGTTTCTTCCCCGGGTAATGCAAACTCCCCTTTCCCCAAAACAACAAAAAGGGACTTCCCCTGAAATAGGGTTGAGTATTTGGGGTTTCTGTCTTAGCATCTTCACTCCTTGGGCTCACCCTGCAGTCCTGCCTTCCTGCGGTTGCTGCAGCCTGCGGTTCCCAGGCAATGGGTGCAGTCCTATGTTCCTGTGCTGTTGGCGGCAGTTCTTGCAATCAACTCACTCATACTGTCTGGTACAAAAGAGATCTTGTAATCGTAAGATTTCGGATGCTGGAATGATCCCCAAACCTAAACTTCGAGCGAGTCGAAACTCTGAGAAGGGAAAGGAACTCGACTCACACGTTCTGCTTGGTATTGCACACTCGCTCTTGCATTCGTAAGGTTTCGGATGATGCGATGACCCTCTTGGATGGCCTCTACTCATCAAAAACTTAAGAGTTGAGAGAGACAGCGAGAGAGAGAGAGAGAGAGAGAGAGCGCGCGAATGACGAACCCCTGAGGGCTCCTTTCTTTTTTCCAATCGTACTTTCTGAGGCCGCCAACCGAGGCAGATGTCCGACCTTAGTTATTCTGTTTTGCTTCCCCGTTTGTGTAATTTCTGCCTCGGTGGTGTGCGCACGCAGAGTTCGCTGTCTCCCGCACCCGTCGGGGGCGCTAACGGGCGCGGTGTAGGGCGCATACACCCTAGCCCTGGCGAAAGAAAGAGAGCGTGACGTGCGTTGGGAGGTAACTCCTCCTGACTCCAACCCCAAGCAAAGCAAAGCAAAGCGTGACCTGCTCCACAACCTTTTGGAAGAATCGTTCTTACAACCGAGCGATGTGGTCACCGATTCGGCCTACAAAGCTTGCTACTATCTCAACAAGCTGCAAACGCTCCATGAGGCAAACAGCCTCCGCAGAGAGAATGCAGCAGCCACTCCCCTTGGTCCCAACGCGGTGCCACAGGACCATACGTCCAGGGTTTTTCTCATACAGAATCCCCTGATCGAACGGGAAGCTACAATTGACAACATGCTCCACAACCACCCCGACCTTCCACGCAGGCATCTGGCGCGTGAGATACAAAGAGCGGAGACCATGCTCAGGGAGGGAGAGGGTACATTCCCATCTCTCTTAACCCTTATGAAAGAAAAGAGAGCTTCGATACAGTCATCGGGCCCATCCCTTTATATACCCGTGAAGGATCCCTACGGTTTCCCTAGTATCCCTTAGTCTAAATTTCCTTTTGGCCCTTTCAAGCTCGTCTTCAGCGCATTTTCCCGTGACGGTGTTTCTGTGACTTTCCCGGCCGGCTTTCCAAGCCCGAAAATGGCGCATTCCGGCAAACATGCCCCCCCCCTTTCCGGATTGGGTTTTTGTTGGGGCGGCCTTTATTACTCGGAGGAGGGGATTATGTAGTGGTCATACAATCAGATTGATGTCGGGTCGGGCTCGAAGATTCAAGGGGGTTGTCACCTATGCACCCTGTTTGTCTCAAGATAACCTGGGAGGAGCGTGACTGCGCGATCGTCACCTTTGGATACGAAGGCACCGGCCCAAAATAGCCAAGCGTCCCTGGACCTGCATCCGAGACCAGGGAAGCGAGCCAACGCCCGGGCTCCCCCGACTACTGAGACTACTGCTACTGATTACCAGCACCACCACCGCTACTACTACGTTTCCTCCTCCTGCTACTGCTTCTTCTGCTGGCTTCTGGACACCGTGCCAAGGTAAAGCGTCTGCGTCCCCAGCGACGAGACACAAAGATTCGACAAAGATGGTACTGTAGATTGTAACGCATAAGAGTGACCAGGTAGCAGCCACGGTGCAGTAGAAAGCGCAGGAACTTGCATCTCCCTTAGATTCGAGAGATGCTTCGCATACTGCTTGCTTGCTCTTCTTCTGGGCCAGGCTTGATCGTGATCTCCTGCTATGAGGGCACGCTGAACATCAGCACAGATGGCTGCTCGCCAAGGCCGCCATTTGATATTCAGCATGCTCTGCCATGCTGGTTATCCGCCCATCAGCGAGAGCGGCAGAAAACCCCCCGCCGAAACGGTGAGCTGTGAGGCCCTGTGTGGGTAGCCGATGATCTTGTGCAAATGAGGCGGTGCCAGCCCTTCCAATCCATCACGGTGCGCCTGGGGGAAGACTCGGTCAGTGCTTCCCCTTTGAACATCATTGCGCGGGACTTATATAGGTTTTCAAGCACATACCGTTGCCAGCGGATGCAGGCTCGAAGCCCAGCCGAGGCCAGTGGTGGTCAAGAGGTGCGGCTATGCCGCAATCTGCCGGACCCCAAGCTTGGAAGGATGGTCCATGTTGACGGTCAGCGATTCAACGATATCAGGAACCCTATCTTTCGGAACACATACATCATGTACTGCAACTTTGGCGAGGCGCGCCGTAGTGACACGAACTAGAGGGGTGCAAAGGCACCGAAGTAAAATAGTACTACCCGGCTTTCGAGCTCCGTGCTGAATGTTTTACAACTTGAGTCTTGATGCTTCTGATGGGATGTTAGTATCCACTGAGTCTGAGACATGAGGGCCAATTCAAGCTTCAGTCGCAGGTGACCGTCGACACCCGTGAGTGTGTTACGCAGCCTCGGCCCAAGTTCACACATGCATTTGCTTCGGCCAAGCTCTATGCATTGGCAATCAGCATTCGCCTTATAGCGCACATGTCATAGTACATCCTCGCAGAACCGAATTTGTGTTTGTATGCAGCTGCGGCTGCTCTCGCCCCGATCGGAAACTGACGGCATGGCTCGCTCTTTCCATCACATGTCTCCGAACTTGAGCAGGAGATCACAGCACTAGAAGTTTCTCACTTGTGAAGGCTTTTCGCCGGCTGAAACGCAGCAGTTAACAGTCACTACACTACAGTAAACTACACACGGACAAACCGTTTAGTGTTTGTCAGCTTCAAAGTAGTCGTATTTCGGAGGGCTCTTGCGCCGTGGCCAGTAGACGTGCGTGGGCGCTCTGTCTTTACAACAGCTCTCCAAAAGTTATTGCAGTTCTTGTTTGCACATCTCTCTTGGCGGGTCAGAAAGTGGCCTGGGCTGCTATTGACTTGATCTCAGGGACAATAGGAGGGACCCCTACAAGGGACCCCCAACCCTAGTACCCTATATAACCCTTATATACCCCTTATATAGTCTCATAAAGCCCCTATATAACCCCAAGGGTCCCTCCTTCAGTCCCTTGCAATAGTGGTCATGATCGCAGTGTGTTTCATACCAGGGCGAATCCTCCACGCAGCACAGGCAGGCATGGTAAATCGAAGCCTATTGATTCGATCGCTCAGGCTTCTAGTTTCCCGCTTCCCTTGGGGGCCTAAGATCACGGTTTCAATTTCGCCTGCTCGCGACTCAGTCACTCCGTCGTGTCGTTGTTGCGATCTTTCGTCGCCCTGTTCTCAACTGCTGAAGTTCCTGCTGCTCACACATTAACGATCCCATGTCTAGCTTTTGATCGGCCTTTCTGTGCTCCATCCGAAACTATTTCCTAAGGCCTTCCTTCCAGCGTGGTAACACTGCCAAGAAACGTTAGACCCCAAATACTAGAAATGTCGCTCACGTGTTGTTCGTGCTAAGTGTGAGCCCTGCCTGACAGCGATGCCTGCTGAGTGAGCCGGCTGAGTAGGCTGTTACCGAGTCGTCCGAACCAGTGTTGCTTCAGACCTTGTCAGGCTTGTCCGAGTGTGAGGGTCAAAATACTAGACGTGTCCTTCGTCAAAATGGTCTCTGAATGCCTTTCTAGATGATGTCTCTCAGATAAGTCGCGTAAGGCACCTGCCTCACAGGACGGTCCATTCTGACGTCCTTCTGTAGGTCTTGTATCGGGCATGTTGGGGGCACTGCAGCTTCTGTACTGGCGAGAAGCTGGCCGAGGTGGGATCCGATGGGAGATCCTCCCTGGACACCCAGGTCGAGGCAAGCTTCTGTGGGCCGAGGGCCCAGAGGACTCTGTTGGATCGATGTCTGTCTCTGCTTGTCTCATGAGATGCTCTGGCGACATGTTGTTCGTATCCTGTAGCTGTTGGGTGATAGCATGTTGGGGCCAGAGCTTGAGACTCTTGAGCTCCGGCTGCTTCAGGGGAAGAGTCGGGAGGAAGGGATTGATCCTTAAGCACCGCCTGCGAGTTCAAGGCCTCTCGGACGGTGCTGTCTTGATGCTCGGAGCTCAGCGATGTTGTTTTGTCTTGCGATGAGCTCAGAGTGGATCTCTTCGGGTCGAGGCTCGGCGGACTGGGAAACGAGGGCCCGATCCAGGAGGCCGGAGGGTGCTCCTGCAGCTGAGTCTTGCAATCTGCCACGCACCGATGAACATCGATGAACACAGAAGCACATCGAGTTGACGATAAGATTTGAGAAGGAATGTGAATGGTGTCAGGTTTGGCAGTGGACACCCAGTCCGCCAGCACCCCGAGTCCGCTGCATAACCGCTACAGCAAGACAGCTACTCCGCACAGTTTCAGCACCACCAAGGACCAGCATCTTGGAAGGCGTTTGGAGCCGGACTGAAAAGCTACCACCATGGCCTAGCGCTGAGAGGTTGCTTTGTTGTCTCGGCTTCGACTCTTTCCACTTGCGAAAGATCTATGAACAGGTGTGCATCGGACAGATCCTTTTGTTAAAGCTCAGAGTCCGCATTGAGGAACGGTCGCTTTGATGCTGCTGCGATCCAGCAAGTCACGGCCGAATCCGAGCAGGCGGAAGGATCTGCAATAAATGGCAGGGTAAGCCCCATGATCCCCATGAGGTTTGTAAATGCCGCTAGCCCGATATGGGAACGAACAAAGTGGCCAGGTTCATCAGGGCTCCTTCTAAATTCCAACATGTGAAATTACTCGTGTGGCTTTCGTTCGTCGAACAGGTGGTGTTAATGGGCGGCAACGACAACCAGAACCGAGGCTTGCTGGAAAGCATGGGGGCATTGCCTGACAAGAAAGTTTATTTTCAGTTGGCAGGGGACGTTTGGCGCTGGTTGCGCAGTCCGGCAATAATCGAGCTGTCATGTGCTGAGAAAGAAGATGCATATCAGGGAGGAGCACATTCATCCATGCCCCGTGTGCTTTGCCAAGGCAGCTGGGTGAGAGCGAAGAAACGGGAAGTCAAGCAAGGGAATGTGTCGAGACCTGAAGTTAGCCGACCACAGCGCTCCGAAGTAGCACCCGAGTCTAAACCCATGGTCAATCAGGTGTCACATTATGGTCGCAGGTTGTCAGGCACTCAGTCGACAGTATGACAGCTGTAGAAGTCTTCATATAGTGTGTATACGGTATACATGTGGAACAATCTTGTATGTGCATATGTTTGTATATATAATATGCACAGGTATCATTCCTCCAATGGTTCTGTGTGTGGTCATGCCCCGTCTTCAGCTTCGGCGGTGGAATGGTTGCGTGCTGTAGGCTGCATGGTTGAGGTCAAGTTTCAGACCGGCTCTGGGCAGGGGGCACGGGGGTGAGGGGGGGGGGGGTAGCGGAACACAACTGATAACCATTGGGGTGAGGGGGGGAAGGGGTAGAACATGTGCGCACACACGCGAACAAAATGGATGCTCACATGAACCTACATGTTCTGTCTGTTCGTCTGTGTCTGCTCTGTGTGGCCAGTCTGGGGTCTGTCTGGAGTCTGGTCTGTGTGGTCAGTCTGGTCACTCTGTCTGTCTCTTTGTTTTTGAGCCTGTTGGTAGGTCGGTCTGTCTGTATGTACGTATGTA